CTTGCACGTTGGGGGTATAATAGTCATTTAACATTTCCAACGATCTTCAAATACTCGCTTTTTCATCAGGATCGACCCTAATTTTGAGTTTCTTTCAATTTCTCCACCGTTGAAGCGGTTACACCTTCTCTCCTTCAAATCAGGGATGGTTAAATGCGATTGTGGGCGTGCTGCTGTAATTCAAACTTCAACTACTAGCAATAATCCAGGAAGACCCTTTTACGCATGTCCAATTAAGGTATGTTATAGTTGAGAATTTTGTAATCATAACCCTAGATGGGGATATCACTGTATGCGATTGTGGGTATTGTAATCGTGGCTTTTGAATTTGACAAGAACCACGTAAAGGATTTATTGCTTGGGTAGATGATGATGAAAAGGATCATGGTGACAGAGTGACAATCTCCTGGCTTGTGAGGTTGAACAAGAAGTTGAAAAATGAAAATCTATTCTTGAAAATATGTTTATTTATTAGTTGGTATTGTTCTTGGTGATACTTATTTACAAGTTGTAAGGTGGGGATGAGTCTTCTGTAATGGTTAGGTTGTAGTAGTGAATGTGATGGTATCCTCTTCTGTAATGGTTAAGTTATCTAAGTATTGTAATGCAAATGGTTAAGATTTTTAAGATCAATGAAAATGGTATTGTGCTGTATTGATTATGTTTTAAAGTGATGTATAAGCAGCATATTGACCAAAACAAGTAGCAATGGTGCATCATAAAAAGAAAACATTCCATTAATTAGTACCAAACTATTACATTAGTTTACAGGGCAATGAGGATTAGCTGTCACAAACTAGTTCATTCAAAAGTGCCAACATATTGGCTAAAACAAGTAGCAAAATACTAGCCCTATTACAAACTATTCATAAATAATGTACCAAAATATTAGCCCTATTACAAGTAGCAACATAACACAATACATTCATATTTAAAGTAACAAAACACTAGCCCTATTACAAACCATGAAGTGGTTGCCTTCCCTTTCCCTTTTCCTTTGACTTGTGACTGTCCACCACCCCCACCAACAATTGGTCTTTGCCCTTTGCAGGTTCTTACATTGTGACCAACATTGTTACACTTCGTACATGTTACTGATCTATGGGCCCTCGATGCTGTGTTTCCTCTAACAAAGTCCTCCTTTTCCACAATTGATATTGTTCTCTTCTTCTTTGGTCTTCCTATGGGAACACGATGTTTTGGAGGCAACAGAGTTGTTGGTATAACTGACTTCTCCCACATGGACCTTCCATTGATTGGACTAACCTTAAAAGAATACATTTCTTTCCAGCTTGATAACCAGTAACATGGATGCACAAATGATTCCGGGATTCCCACATCTTTGTTATTCCTCCCCATGTCCCAAATAGCAGCCACACCATGTTTGTACGGAATTCCTGTTAATTCCCACCTTTTGCACGTGCAACTTTGTTGACCTACATCCACAATACACTGATCTTGCCATGGTCCAGCAACTTGATATTTTCCAGCACCACAAAATGTTGCAATATACTGTTCTGCCTTACTCTTTATCTTATCCAATATTGTTGTAGTTGTAGGAGTCAAAGGACCTACAACTTTCTGAATTTCCTTGTCAACTTTGACTATCTTCTTCATAATGTACTCTCTAATGAACTCAATGCAGTTAATGATTGGTGCATCACGACCTTCTTCTAGCTTGCTGTTAAATGCTTCACACAGATTATTAGTCAGAGCATCACAATGTGCTCTCCCTGAACATAAACAAGTTCTATGTCATTATTCAATATACCTTCTTTTAAAATTATTAAGTAGAGATCGAAGGTCATTATACCAGTAAAGTGGGAGCGAGCCCAACTTTGAGGAGGTATTTGTTTCAACCACTCGTAAGCATCATTGTTAAGCTTCTTCAATTTTTCCATTGCTAGATGAAACTGTTGTACATTAGAGGTCGTGGCACATTCCCAAAGAAGATCCTTGAACTCCTGTCCCCTCCAGTTCTTTTTCATGTTGTCGTGTATGTGACGAAGACAATAGCGATGCTCTGCACATGGAAATAGTGTTGCAATCGCAGGCAACAAACCCTAGCAATAGTAACATGTTTGTATGTTAGTAAAACTGCATCAATATTATAAAACTATAAAACCTAGTTTGGATAGGTTCGAATACCTTTTGCCTATCACTCATAAACGTGAAATTGGAATTTGTTCCCAAACCTAAGTCATCACCCAAATTACTTAAAAACTAAGTCCAAGAATTCAATGTTTCTGATTCAACCATAGCGTAGGCTAAAGGATATATCCCATTATTACCATCCAATGCCTTTGATAAGAAACATACATTACCAGAAAACATTGGTTAGTTAACACTACTTTCAATAAAGAACATATAATACAAAAAGAAATAAGAAGATCTTACCACAGCAGACAAGACTTGGCCTGGATATGGACCTTTCACGAAGGCTCCATCAAGTCCAAGAAAGTCCCTTCTTCCCGCTGCAAAACCTCGCTTCAAAGCTCCAATGCAAACATAGATACGTCTGAATGTTCTTGTCTCAACAGTTGGATTCACTTCACTTTCAACATCAATTTTAACCGTAGTATCTGGGTTACGTGCATGTACCTCTAAAACATAATCCCTCAACAACCTGTATTGGCTGGCATAATCTCCTTGAACATGCTTTAAAGCTTCCTGCTTTGCCCTAAAAGCTTTCATATGCGAAATGTCCATCTGGTACTCACGCTGGAGTTGCTCTCGTAAAGCCCTAATAGGAATCTTTGGGTTTGTCTCAATAATTTGTACTATATGCTCTGAAAGGAACTTATAGTCACATGCTTTGACTTTCCTTGTTTGTAGACATCGATGCTCTTTCGTGTATGTCTTAACCATCCAATCTATGTCACGCTTCCACTTACTACAATAGATAACCCATGGGCACTTCTCTTCTTCATTAGTAGCAAGATTTGGTATAGTGCCCTTACACACAAACCTAACCCTATTCTTATCATTTTTCTCTAATTGTATTTCCCTTCTTGTCCTTATGGAATGTAGTTTCACTTGTGTCTTAAAGGCCTTAGATGAACTGAAAGTTTGAAAAATGTAGAAGGGCTCACTAACCAAAGCTGCATCATTTTCATAAGCCCTCTGTATGGCCCTAATAGTTTTCCTTCGCTTACCATCATTTTCCTCATCTGATGAAGACCCAGACAACAAAACCTCTGTGTTGATCACTTCCAAGTCACCTTGCTGTGTATCTTCAGGTACATTACTTTCAGAAGAACCTCCAACCCATTCTACATCCTTGTCAATGTTCATATGGAAATCTTTCATATCCACATCAACATCGTGTATGAGATTGTCCTCATCAATAAAAAAATCACTATCTTGACTCTCACTATCATCATCAAACTCATCACTTCCACTGCCATTGTTGTGTCCACTACCATCATCATCATCCTCATTCTCTAAATTCATTTCAAAATCAATATGGTCGACCACAGAAGGTTCTTTGTCCAAGTGACTATCATTCTCAACTTCTGTTAGGTCTGGAACACTCATGCTCAATTGGAGAGTCATGCCACTCCAAGAACAACCTTTTGGAGCAAGTTGGTGGCTCTTTAATTTCAACAATTTTAACCTTACTAGGGTTGGGGGACATAGAATAAGTATGTAAATTTGTTTTCCCATGCTCAATATATATGTCTATTAGCTTATGGTTAGCAACATACGTACCCAGATGGTGAACATCCTGATCAGAACCCAAAGCAAATAACCCAAAATCCAAATCGCCAAATGGTCTCAGGAAATGATAGTAGAGCAGTGTCTGGTCTGAATCAATATGCCCAAGTTCCTCCATCATCTCGTCAATGTCGTGAATGGAAAAGGTGTCAATGTCTAGTAAATCAACATAATTTTGCTTGCCTTTGATGTACTTTCTTCCAGGGAACTGTGTAAACTGTCCGCCATGGTGTAATCGGACAGAGAATATCGTTGGATGTCCGGCTGTAGATTCAGGGGAAGATACATTAGTCACATTTTTCTGTTTAAGTTACTAACTGATCGAGGGAGTAAACACTTACCATATCTACGAGCAACGTCAATCTCGTCCATGGTAGCACGTATCCTCCAAGGCGTCATCGTCGTCCTCAAATGTAGGGTTCTTTCGATCAAGGGTTTTCAAGGGTTTTCAAAGGTTTTGTCTGTGAAGGCTTGTGTCTGATTCACGCTGATAAGCGATACGTCTTTTATTTCTTGGCGGTAGAATGTTGGAAATGTTAAATGACTATTATACCCCCCAACGTGCAAGGCACGTGGGGTGTCTAACGGAAACAATTGACGGATTGTTAGAATAGGGACTAGGCGCGTTACATAATAAAAACTTGAGGACAGTCCGAGTTAGAAAAATAAGTTAGGGACTAAGCGTGCAATTTATACTAAACCACAGGGACCATTCGCGTAATTTACTCTAAATAGTAAGAGCTTTGATTTTCAGCCATATGTTTTGGTTTGAAAAGCCTCACTTTATAGCACCCTACTTTCAGTTCTTTATAATTTGTCATTCTACTTTGCATACCCAAATTTTGTCATTCATGGGCATATGGACAAATTTTACTTGTGCAATATATTTTTGCAAAAATAAAATAAAATTGAAAGTAGGTTGTTATAACTGAAAAAAGATAAAGTTGGATGTTAAAATAAATTGTCTATTTCTTGCATGTAACATCTTATTATATTATATGGAAATAAGAATATATAGTTATAATTAAAGAATTTTTGGTATAGAACTAATGAAAACTAACTATTATAAAGTTTATCAAAACTAAAATAATTTTATAATAATAATAAAAACATTAAATTTAAAATAAAAAAAAAAATAAAAAATCAAACATTAAGAATTACATAATTAAGAATCGGTTATATTACAATTTTTTTGCTCTTTCAAAGAAACTACACCGGATAAAATAAAAATAAAAGCAAATAAAGGAAATCACATTACTATAAATGATCCATTCAATCAAAGCAAAACATACTGTTATTTCATCAAAACTATCCAGGTATAAAATATAGCAAACCGAATAAAAATATTGTAATTTTGGTAAATTACTTTATTTCAAAAATGTTACAAAAATAATACAAAAATAAAATATGTTATAGCTAAAAGTAGTTATTCAAAGCACCCCACACAGTTTCCTCAACTTCCTCCCATGATTTTGCGCTCCTCAATTCTTTACACATACCAAAAATCGCCCCTAATATATTCTCCTCATGTATTATACAATAGCACCTGTGCAAAAATTAACACCATTTTCAACAATTTATTTATATATATATTCAATAATCAAATATTATATATAATTATAATGACTTACATTGTTAGGTACGATATTCTTCTGACTACACTTCCATTATCCCATGAATTTCTTTTCCCAAAAGGAAGTCCATAGCTTTCAAGAAGCAAATTCAGGAGCTGTAAATCTCCACGAAATATATCTAAGTGAATCGGGATCAAATCCAATATTGGATCACCTGAAAAAAAAAAAAAGTAAATTTGAAACCCGTTTATGTTTATGTAAAAAAGACGAGAATGCCCTTGTTACCTAGAGACATATTGCTGAAATCATAAATATAGCTTGGAAGCCATGATGATATTTCCTTGTCATTATTTGACCCATTCACAACACCACAACACTCCAAGTGAATATTGTCATCCATTATATCCGTGTGTATCCAAGAGCAAGAATTCCTCACTTGAAACAAACCATTTTTATCCTAAAACACAAACTCTTAATAAGAAAAAGAGTAAATTACATGAATGGTCCTTATGGTTTAGGGTAATTTGCGCTTTTGGTCCATAACTTATTTTTTTAACTCGGAAGGTCCCACTGTTTGTTTTTTTTACGCGCTTGGTCCCTGTCTTACCTAAAAAAAACTATTTTACCCTTGATTTTTTAATTTATTTAAATAAACACACCTCCAACCCCACCCCCTCACCTTACCTTACCTACCCCACAATTTTTCCCTATTTAAATACTAGTCTTTTTAGGTAAGACAGGGACCAAACGCGTAACAAAAACAAACAGTAGGGACCAAGCGCGTAACAAAAACAAACAGTAGGGACTTTCCGAGTTAAAAAAATAAGTTAGGGACCAAACGTGCAAATTACCCAAACCATAGGGACCATTCGTGTAATTTACTCTAAGAAAAAAGTATATTCACATTAACAATATGAACAATGAAGCTAGTTGGACACTACACTACTAACCTTGAACAAACTATGCAACTCTACAAAGTCATTTGGGAGATATTCATTAACTTTCTCAATTAGTGCACTTGGAATTGGATAACCCCTGTATTATTATATGCAAGAAATGAAATGATATAAACAAATGAATGATATAAGTTGAAGCAACTTACCACTTAGTCAAACGACTTGATACGTCTTTTTTTTTTCCTATTGAGAATTGTGAAGAAAACCTTTGATGATTTTGGGAGATTTATTTTTTCATTAAAATCATTCTCATGGTTGAACCCTAATTCCTTTCCCATTTGTAAATATGCTGAAACATTCAGAGGAGTAACAGGTAAAACATGGAGATGATGCAATTGCCTCCCTAAAAAGGAAGCTAGATTTGAAACCTCCTTATATGAGAGTGTATCTCTTCTGAAAAATTAGAAAAGTATATTAATCAACAATTTTGAATCTATCCATTCAAATGAATAAAAACCTAAACTATTTTCGATAATGTGGATGAGGAGGGTATTTATGTCTTTTGCACAAATGTGAGATTATGAACGAGTTCCTAGACTAAATAAACAATCTAAATCTCCATTTTAGCCTTACATTCTTATAAAAAAAAAGGAAATCTCCAATAAAGTCCCAATATTTTTTGGGCCAGTTTCCGGTTTAATCCCACATTTATTTTTGAGTAAATTACACGAATGGTCCCTATGGTTTGGGGTAATTTGCACGTTTGGTCTCTAACTTATTTTTTTAACTCGGAAGGTCCCTACTGTTTGTTTTTGTTGCGTGCTTGGTCCCTGTCTTACATAAAAAGACTATTTTGCCCTTGATTTTTTAATTTATTTAAATAAACACCCCAACCACACTTCCACCTCACATTACCTTAACTTACCTATCCCACCTTATTTAAATAAATTAAAAAATCAAGGGCAAAATAGTCTTTTTAGGTAAGACAGACCAAGCGTGCAACAAAAACAAACTGTAGGGACCTTCCGAGTTAAAAAAAATAAGTTAGGGACCAAACATGCAAATTACCCCAAACCATAGGGACCATTCGTGTAATTTACTCTTTATTTTTTTGAACAGAAAAGTCCCGATTATCTAATCTGTCATTAATGGAGCAAAAGGGTACTTACAAGTCAGCAAATATTTTCCCTTTGCATCGTTTAGTAATAATGTAGGGCCAAATGTTTGTTTGTCCACCAGAAATGACCAATTCGTCCAAAGTCATATCAGCTTTCCTATACTCAAATAGCTTTTTGCTCCAGATGCCAAAAGGGTACTCAACATCAGAAAATATTTCTTGAATTGTACTATTTTTAGTAATTACATCAGGTACACCTTTTCCATCCCATGGCACAATTTTATATTTTCCATCCTCAATAAAAACTATCCCACTTGCTAAAATATTAGGAACATGATGTTTCAAAGTGGAATCCGATCTCTGCATTATACTGTAGAACTCAAGCTGCATAGAGATGCAAAACAAATTACATAAGAATTGTTTCAGTTAGTATATAAAGGTAAAGAGATAAGAGATTAGTGATTTAATAATAATTAATAATAATAATAATACCTCTGTTCCTAATGCATGAAGACTAGCTTCTAAACCATCCTCCACAAAAATCTTGACAACATTGTCTCCTACAAGATAAACCTATTGGAAATACAAATTGTATCACTTTAAAATTTCATATTATAATCACTTACAAGATTTTTAATTATTGGAAAATGAACTTACAGGATTGCTACCAGTGCCAACTGGAAACTTCTCTTCATCTACAGGCAAAGAAATATTATGAAAGGCACATAATTCTTCCATGCAATTTGACCATTTATTAGCATGTAACGCAATACAAGCTCCCTAAAATTCAACCACATCATGTAAATTAAAAAAAAAAAAGGATTAAGTAAACAAAAAAGGGTAAGAAAAAAAAAAGTAACTACCTTCCATATTAAGTCTCTTAATCCAGGTTTCCCAATCCAAAGCTTCCATAACCAATCTCTCAATTCCCTTTGTCCAATACAATTACTTGTACTCCATAACGAATTATAATGGTCTCTATCTTTATCCAAAAACATGGTAAGAAAATTTATATCATAACAAAACTCCTCCATGTGGTCATCAATTTTCACTCTTTTTTCCTTTCTAGAAACTTCATTTTCACTGTCATTGTCATCCATGGATGAGAATTCCCCATTATGCCCTTCAGTAAGGGCGAGCAATCCAGCACGACAAACACCTTTATGTTGATACCCAGGGGCCATATCCAGACATACAAATTCAAAATTTTTTGAGTTTACATAATTTTGTGTCACAGCAATTGTGGTTTCAAGGTTTAGAACACAATGCCACCACCCAGTTGGAACATAAATAGTTTCACCAGGTAGTTGTGTACATTCTATTGGCTTATCTTCATCAGCAAGAAGTGGGTAGAAGTCCAACCACCACTGAGAAAAAAAATAAATAAAAGATGACATGTCATAAGAAAATGCCAACATACTTTTGTTGGTTTGTTAATTATATAATATATATATATATATATATATATATATATATATATATATATATATACTTTCATTTCTTCCTACTACAACATTGTACTTTGAAAAATCTAGGGTTAATCTCATAAAAGACCTTATATTTTGTTTTTTTTTTAATGAAAAAGACCTTGTGTTTTTTCAGTTTTTCTGATCTGGTCCTTTTAGTCATTTTTTTTCAAAAAGAAGTGGGAAATTTCCGATAAAGTCCTAATATTTTGGTTTAGTTTACGGTTTAATCCCAACATTTATTTTTTGAACAGAAAAGTCCTGATTATTTTATATTTTGCTTATGTTAACAAAACAGTCGTTATTTTTTTTTTTGCAATAGAAAATGACAGATTATCGTGTAAAATTTGATAATCGGGATTTTTCTGTTTAAAAAATAAATGTTGGGATTAAACTATAAACTGACCCAAAGTATTGGGACTTTGTTGGAGATTTCGCAAAAAAAGTTGTAAAATGTGAGGGTTTTTTTTATGAAAAACTAAAAAAGTTGGAGTAAGTTACTGAAATCGTCCCTATGGTTTGGTCAAAATTACACGTTTGGTCCCTAACTTTTTTTTTACACTTGGATTGTCCCTGTGGTTTGATTTTGTTGCGTTTTTCGTCCCTATGGTTTGGTCAAAATTGCACGTTTGGTCCCTAACTTTATATATGCAAGGGATGAAAAACGCAACAAAATGAAACCACAGGGACGATCCAAGTGTAAAAAAAAAGTTAGGGACCAAACGTGCAATTTTGACCAAACCATACGGACGATTTCAGTAATTTACTCAAAACGTTGAGGATTTATTTGGAAACATTTAGAAGGTAGAGGGGTTTTTTTGGAATAAAAAGGCAAAGTTGAGTGTTTTTTCGGAGTAAATGAAAAAATATAACTTCTTTTATGAGATTAACCCAAGAATCTGCCTAATTATAGCAATGTCATCCAAATACAAAGCAATTTACACTGCTATGATTGGGTAGATTTTTCAAAAAAGTAGAAGTATGAGTACTATATTTGGGTAGGTTTTTCAAAGTTAACATCAACATTCTTTATCATTTATATTTTATACACAATATTACCTGCAATGATGATGGAGTTTCAATGTCAACATCACCATCTTCATCATTTACATGTACTGTTACACCTAAAGGTACTCTTCCAGGAGGATACAGGGCCCACCTATTCAAATAAAGGTAACATATACTTCAAAATTTCTAGTAATGTACAAAATTTAGTGCATAAGAAGTATTGAAAAATACTTCATGGCAAAAACAAGAAGTCCTTCACATGTTGTTTTAGCATTACTCTTTCACAAAAAGTAGTCCAAAGCTAATTTTAATATTCATTTAACATTATGTTATTGAAGTATACTATGAATCTAAGCACCAAAACAACTTATAAGCATACTAAACAAAGGAATATACCAAAGCGTGATAAAATAATACAATTTTCTTCAAACTTTATAAAAATCTACCTTTTACAATTTTCTTCAACTTTTAATATTCATTTAACATTATGTTATTGAAGTATACTAAGAATCTAAGAACCAAAATAAGCATACTAAATAAAGGAATAAATCAAAGCATGATAAAAGAATACAATTTTCTTGAAATTTTATAAAAATTACCTTTTACGCCCACACAAAAGAGTATTCCAAGCACTGGTAAGAGCAGGATCAACATGCCAAGATGCACCAGATCTCTCTGGTCCAATGATAAGCCATCTAAAAGGTGGTCTCTGATCATTAGCTAATACATCAAAATAGTCATCTGGGAATAGATTTGGCACATTGTAATCTTTTAATAAATCTGGTGCAACTTCTCCAAACTGCAATTACAAAGTCATATTTCTTATAAACTATCAATAGAAAATGGGGAGGTGGAGAAAGAAATGAGAGTAAGAAAATGTACATTGTCATCAAAAATGTATAGGGGATCCTCATCATGTTGTTCTTGCATGTAGGACACATAATCCTCAAACTTCATGGATAGTTTTTTAGCACTTCTTTGAGAAATTCTGAAAGGTGTAGTTCCATATTTGAGTAGTAGCTGTTCAGGAGTCCAGGTTTTTCTTGCAGCCCAAGTATCAGCCAATCCAGAAATTAGAACCTACATGGAGCAAGATAACATAACTTTCTGAATCAAATAATATAAAAATACAAGTTCAGATAACTTTTTGAATTAAATGAATGACTTACAGGTTTATGTGCATCATATTGTTGAAGGAACTCATCTAGTTGAATGTCTGTCTTTCTTTCAACATTTCCTTGATCAAAAGCAAACCCATTTAACTGAGTATAGCAACGATATAATCGCTTATACAGGAATAAAGAGTTAAATCCTGTAAATAGAAGTGATGTAACATTTAGTAAAGCAACCAAAGTGTAGAATTGAAAACTATGATATGTGATAGAATTGAATACCATCAAAGTGTAGTGGTTTTCTGTAAGGGTCATCATCACATTTACTCAGAACTTGCAGTCTGCAGTTCATATCAGGCGTGTTATTAATATCATATAAATTGAATTAAAGCAAAAGGAAATTCTGAAAGCATACCTATGCAGTGTTGTCCTCTTCCAGGATCCTTTGTACTGAAGCTCACGATTTTCATTATTAAGGCATAAGTTCATCCACAAAGGTTCTTCATTGCAGAGGATATACATCACACTGCAAATCATAACCCCAGTTAAACAGATTTAATCTCATTCAATTAATTCTTACTCTATGAACTTAGCAAGATTGTGACAAGAGAACCACTTTGTAAACATTGCTATAAAACTTTAAAAAGTATGCAGTAAGATCTTTGATAGATCTAATTTCAGTTTTTGTCAACGTATGGAAAACTTGAAAGGAATACGTAAATCACACTAGCGAATTGCCTATAGTTTGAAGATCACAATAAGCATTCATTCATTCTAATCCTAATCAAGCCCATAAGTATGATCATCCTCGGAACTCTCCCAAATTAGTAACCTTTTCTTACTTCTATAAACATAATATACACCGGAATTTCGAATTTGGAAGAAAACAAAGTACGAGAAATTTAACAACCTGCTAGCACAAGCAAGACGAGCGACATCACGAGGTGAGAGCAAAGTCAGTATCGAACAAACGATTTCATCCGGAAGGACATGGAAACCTCCAAGAGCATCAGGTCTCCGATCTCTCGGAACGACTTGAGCTTGCGAATTCGCGTCCACCTCCATTGATTGCTTCCTTAATCTCAAAACTCAATAGGGGTTTTAATTTCTCTCTATAACTACTTTCTCAACTCGTATCTATATTGTAATGGAAAAGGGCGCGATTCCTGCTTAATGTTTAGGCAATTGTGCGGTGGCGCGTAGGCTGATTTTTCTATTTTCCTTAACCGAGGATTCGCCGCGTGCGGCTGAGGATCAGATTCCCGTTGACGTAACTCGGAAGTGACAAACACGGAGCTAGAAAGTTGTTGATTATTGCAATTCGGACCTTCAAGTTCTATATTTTACACTACGATCGGAGTTTTGACAAAGTTTAATCTTCACATTGGATATAAGAAAGAAGGACAAACTATGAGAAATAGTTATAGAAATTTATCTAGCTACCAATATGGGTATGTATTTTATTTTATAATTAAAACTATATTTTTTATTCAACAAAACAAATATTCATTTAAAATGTAAGGAAACATATTTATAAACCAATGCCATGATAGAAGTTACATCATATTTGTATAAAATAAATTTTACAATATTTATCTGTAGGTTTTATGGGCTGCAATCTTAGGCATTTCTTTATGTGATTTTCTTTCTTTTTGTAGGTTTGTGTTTGGTGTGCTTGTTATTTTCGTAATCCGTAAGATATTGTATAGAGATATGGATGCAATCTACAACATTTATTTCTTTGGGTTCTTTTTTGTGTGATGAAGTGTGTTTTTTCCCCCTTGTGTTATTAACCAAATCAATGTAGGTTTCAATCTAAGAACATCAGTCAGTTTCAATCAAATATGGATGTTAACCTCTCAACTTCTATCAATATATTCAGAGAATTTAGTTCTTATCAATATAGTAAAAAGCAACAAAGGAATGAAATGGAACAATCTTCCCCTAGTTGATCACTTGATTGACATTCACTAGGATAGTGGTATTTTTCTCATTCCATTAAGGATTATATGACATATTGTAATTATAAAAATGATTATAATTGAGATAACCACATCAAAAAGCTTGTCAGGATATAACCCATTGCTCATATCATTAAAAATTTCTTAATAACACAACGCGTTATTACCATAACTTATGAACTACAAAAATGTCTACAACAACATAAATGTTTTAAAAGAAACTAACTCATTGGCTCTTGTTATTATCATAACTTATGAACTACAAAAAATCTACAACAACATAAACGTTTTAAAAGAAACTAACTCATTGGCTCTTGTTATTACCATAACTTATGAACTACAAAAAGTCTACAACAACATAAATGTTTTAAAAGAAACTAACTAATTGGTTCTTAACATTGCTTCATTCTCCTCTTTCTTAAGCGCTCTGCGATTATAAAGGATAGCTCTAGTGCTTGAGAGGCATTAAGCCTTGGGTCACAGTGTGTGTGGTATCGCGATCCAAGGTCATCAAAGGTCACTGTTGTGGATCCAGATCCACCAATGCACTCTGTCACATTTTGTCCCGTCATTTCAAGATGAACTCCTCCCGGGTGGCTTCCTTCTTGCTCATGCACATCAAAAAATGCTTTCACTTCCGCCTAGTACAAACAAGATTCCATGTATGATTTATTATTATAAGACTTTATAATAGCAATATATAAACCCGTAATAGCAATTTACTTACAATTACTTACCAATAATAGTAACATACTTAAATTTCTTTACCGATAATAACAATTATGTAGAATCAAAAAAATTTAAGCATTTTACAAGTTTTATATATGAATTTATGTATGTTGCCACTACAAACAAAAGTAATTAAGCACGTTGCTAATAAGCGAAAAAAAAATACATTGCCTATATTGGTAGCAAGAGTAAAGTATGTTGCTATATACCACAATTTATCTTTTTTTTAAACATCATTTATCCGGGGGGGACAAATTATAAATTGCAATGTTAATAAAGAAAGTAAATATACAAGTAGCAGGATGAGAGTGTTACCCTAATAGCATCGAAGGGTCGAGTCTTGAGACCACACGGAGCCTTGATGGTGTTGCCATGCATAGGATCCGAGACCCATGTCACGATTTGACCCGCTCTTCTAACCGCTCTAATAAGATGGGGAAGTTTCACTCTCATGTTCTCCGCTCCCATTCTTGTTATTATTGTAATCCTTCCCGCTTTGTTCTCGGGATTCAAAATATCGATGAGCTTCACCAACTCACTTGGATCCATCTTGTCACTCACCTTTTCAAAAACACATGTTAGCTCTCTATAATCACAATGTGTCTGATACGGAATGGATGTTTCCATTCCGTATCAGACACATGTACCTTGTGCCTGATACAACTGTGTTAACAGTTGTATCAAACACATGTACCATGTGTCTGATACAACTGTTAGTACATTGTGCCTGATACAATGCTGTATCAGGCAAAATGTATGTGAAGATCAATACCTTAATTCCAAGGGGATTTGCGATTCCTCTTAGAAACTCGACATGGGCACCATCCAACTGACGAGTTCGTTCCCCAGCCCAAAGGAAATGAGCAGAGCAATCATAGTACAAGCCAGAAGTTGAATCCAAACGAGTAAGAGATTGCTCATATGGCAAGTGCAAGCACTCGTGTGATGTCCAGAAATCGGTGGTGGTCATGATTGGATGGTCAACGGTCAAACCGGCTGCAGACATGAACCCGAGTGCCTCATCAACTCTGCTAGCCAGCTCTCGGTATCTACCATGCAACAATTCAAAAAACCACATCATAATTATATAATTTTAAAAAAGTAATTGAGAAAATGATTGCACACTTGGGAAAATCAAAAGAAGAAAGATATAAGTGGACAAAGTTGTAAAAGGTTTAGGGGCAATTTTCATGCAAATAACTAAACACAACGCCCATGCACATATACGATATGAAAACATATCCTAATCATAAAGGGGCAATTAAGTAAATTCAACATACCTGTCACCTTGTTCGCTATGTTCCGAAAAATCAAGATTCCATTGATTAACCCTTTGCATAGCTGCATAACCTCCCGTAGCAAAAGCCCTCAAAAGATTAAGAGTAGCTGCAGATTGGGTGTATGCTCTAATCAATCTTTGAGGATCGGGTGTTCGGGACTTCAAATCAAATGCATCACCATTAACATTATCCCCTCGATAACTTGGTAATTTCACTCCATCTTTTTCCTCAAAAGGATCCGATCTAGGCTTTGCAAATTGTCCAGCCATTCTTCCTACCTGGTTTCCTCAAATTCCCACAATCCAAAATCAATTTCAGTGTAATTCATAATTTAGATTAACTAAATCTTTCAAAAAGCTTTAACACCATCCATAAAGATCATCTTTTATAGATTATGATGAATTATCTAACTGTTTTAACTTTGAAAAAGAACTACGTGGCATACCAAGATATATTCATGCGATATTCACACTATGAAAATGAAAGCAAGTCGCATAATTTAGTTCCACAGATATTCGCATGTGTTCATACTTATGTTATATTAAATCAATCAAAAGGCTTTACTACACTCCATTTACTACACTCCACAAAGATCATAGCTTTAAAAATTAAAAAATTCAGATATGTTGGAATGTTTTCATGATTCAGATTTCATGTGATAGCCAAGAGTATTTAAAAGTTTCGATGTGTAAGCTTAAAATCACATACGAAAAAGAGGTAAAATGAATAATGGAATTTAAAAATTAAAAAAAAATGTGACCTTGATAACGGGCATTTGACCACCGAACATCAAAACAGCACCCATTTGAAGAATGACTCTGAACGTATCACGAATGTTGTTTGCATTAAACTCCTTGAAACTCTCAGCACAATCACCACCTTGTAAAAGAAACGCATTTCCCATAGCAGCCTCACCCAGCCCCTCCTCAAGGTTACGTGCCTCCCCGGCAAATACGATCGGCGGGAAGGAATCCAGGGTTTGGAGCACCGATTCGAGCTCGATTTGATCCGGGTATTCCGGAAGTTGTAGGGCCTTTTTGGTTCTCCAGCTTTCGATGGTCCATTGTTTGGGTTTTTTTGTATTTGGGGCGGTTGTTGGGGTGGTGGTGGTGGCGGTAGCGGCGGTGGCTGGGGAAGCAGGTTTTGATGATGATTTGTCAATGGGGGTCTTCGATGGGTCGGGAGAATGGACGGCGAAGATTGGTTGGATGGATCTGGCGGTGGCGGTGGGTGCGGCGGAGGTGGTGGTGGTGGAGGAGACAGATTTCAGTTGTGGTGGGAGAGAATGGATTTGGAAAGATTTTGTGAGGAGGTTAGAGTTACTAGCAAGAGCCATTTTGATGAAAATGTATGCGTTCTTGGTTTGTGTTTGTAGGTGGAGTGGAGGGACTGAATGGGGGCAATTAATAGGGAGGAGGGAATTGGTGGCAGGTTTGGTGGAAGCTCTCGACGAGTCGAGGGGGGTTAGGTAGGTAAGGGTATTCCGGTAAAATTGTAAAATTTAAATCATATGGTTTTCGTGAAAGAACAAAAAAACGAGATTATTTATTTATTTTTTGTTTTTTTGCAAAAGTATGGATATTTGAAAAACGGTCGGTCGAAATATATAACTAGAAATTGGTGATGTATATGTTTATCTGTCCATGTTCATCACTGGTTTGGAGCATGTTTAAATCACTAAATTGTAAACTGGTTTTGTGTATGTTTAAATCACTAAATTGTAAATTATTAGCTGATGTGTTTTTTATTTTAACTGTAGGTGAGTTATGGAAGATATATGAACTCAAATCTAACCATGAACCCGAAAATGACCACACTTCCCTGCAAGTGGTTGTTCGTGGTCGTGCATAACATAATCACGCATTTCATATAATAAGGAAGTCCGTGAGACCTCAGCTAATCAACACAACAAGCTAGATGGAATTAATACCGCCTCGAAACACTACACATGAATTAACTATAATTTAGCAATTAAGGTATACTTCTTAACTTTCATCTCTAAACGAGTCTTTCTTTTCCTAATCCTTAACTAGGGCAAAATACCATTTTTCCCTTACCCAATGGTCTAAAATACACTTTCAGTAAACTTTGATCAAAAGTCAACCGGTCAAAAAGTCAACGGTCAACGCGTCGTAACAAACGTTGACCTTGCCATGGTCAAAACCAGACCTGACCCTCTTGACCACCGTGTCGTGGTCAGCCCTTAACCGTGTTGCCACTACAAACAAAACGTCATTTAGTAGCATACATATTTAGTGACATATTTTGTTTATGCCATTATATCATATTTTTAGTGGCATATCTTATGTACCGCTATAAAAATTAACACCTTTAGTGGCATTTAACAATTTATGTCACTAATATTCATATTTATTAGTGGCACAATAATATAAAAATGTCATTTAAAATATTTATTTTGTGTTATACAATTTATTAAATACCACCAAAAAAGTTTTATTATGATATTATAAATTTTTTTCTGCCACTAAAAGAAATATCGATCCGATTTCGCAATTTGTATTGATGGAAGATTAGAGATTATGGTTTTGTTTTGTGCCACTAAAAGACCCAAAATTCGATGAAGATGAAAAGAGTTTATTCCATAAAATCCATTATATATACAAACTTGTTCTGTTTTAACCCCAATATAACGTCCTGATTTTCAAAGACAAATTTTTAATTTTATTTATCCAAATTATAAGTCTTACACACTTTATATTACACATTTAATTATAAAAGTGAGTCTTAGCGGAAGTCTTAAATATTATTTATTGTTTTCGATGCAAGTACAGTCATGCGAGAGCCTTTCCTTGATCCAAGAACAACCTGTAAAACAGTTATTCAACAACTGTAAGTCGAGGCTTAGGTGCTGTTTGTTTTTTAGAAAAACCTCTTCAAACCACTTTCTGCTGCGCGGCGCAGCACACGCGCATCACTTTCCCTCTCGCAGCAGTTTGTTTTTTTGGAAGACTTCAGACTGCAAAACCTTTGCGCGTGTGCTGCGTGGCGCAGCACTTGACTTGCCTCTTCAAACCTCTTCAGCTTTCAATTTTTTGAAGTTTTTTTTAGAATTTTGGTATAACTTTTTTTTTTTAAACATTTAAAAAAAAAAAGCTTTTATTTACGGATTTGATACAATTTCTTATTATAGTTTCCACAAATTTTTTTAACTTAATTTAAAAAAAAAAAGCTTTGATTTTTTTAATTTTTTTACCGTTTCCGTTAATAATATTTTCAGTTTCAGTTTCAGTTTCATCTTTTTTAACGTGTGTAATTTTTTACGAACTTTGTACACATCGTTTGCAATACTTTCTTAATTTTTTTATTATTTTCTTTTTTATGTTTTTTAAAATTAGTTTTTTTTCTAGAATAAAGCTGTTAGCTTCTTTTATATTTTTGTAAGTTTTTTTTTTTAAAAAAGTTTTATATTTTTGTTTTTTTACATGTTATTTTTAGTACTCTTTCAATGTTTTAAGACTAGAATTATTAAAATTTCGGTGTTGAGAACTATTTTAAGTTTATAAAATTAGTTTATTTAAATTTCAGTTTACTGCAGCAGTCTGCAGATGTTAAAAAACAAACATGCTTCTTATTATGGGCTGCAACCATTTGTTCCACCTCTTCTGCTGCAGAGGATTGCAGAGGTGGTCCGCAGACTTCATGAATTTTCGCTTCGAAAAAACAAATAGCACCTTAGTGAACTCCCTCAAAATACCACATACATACAATGCATACACATATTGGCCTTTAGCTTATAGCTGGTCTACACCTTGGCCTTCAGCATATAGTTGGTCCGCCCTATATAGCCTTCAACACGTAGCTGGTCCGCTTCCCCTTAGCCTTTAATATAAAGATAGTCCGCCCAAGGCTATTGGCCTTCAACACGAATCTGGTCCGCCATCAACTCTGTATATACATATCAACATATAACAACAGTCCATATAACAGACAACTAACTATCCTAGTCTAATTGCCTAAGTGCATACTACAGGGTAGCTATATCCTAACATACATAGGATACATATTGGAGTATATAATTTAGTGAGAAAAACTCACTTGACGGTTTCTCAGATGGTTAGCAGCTAACCGAGTGATTCAACTGGAGAGTACGCGCCTAACATGTGTTAACATATAATACTAGAGCTTATCAGTCCCTAGGGCAATTTGGTAATATAGGTTAGACTTATCACCAATGAATACCGATAGCTCTATCAAATAAGGATCAGCCATGCAGGACAGTTGGGAGACATGATCATTTCGGCATTTAGCTTTTTTAAAATCCAACAACCAAGCCAACATTACCATTCTAGACACCTCTCTCGTAAGTTGATTGATCGGTATTATTACTAGGATTACTGATAAATCTTTATTTACATAGTCATAACTACAACTATGAATATAAATACAAGTTACACTTATAGCATAGTAAGTGTAGCCTAACTTACAGAGAGTTTCTAGTGAAATCGGGATTATGCGGGAAGAACTCTGACCCGAGATCTTCTAATCGTCGTCTCTTCGATGCCGCAGGGTCTCACTAAAGTAGCCAGGAACTAGGGAGTAAAGGGCTAAAATCTAGAAAGTATCGTAAGAGAAAAGGAGAAAGGGTGTGTAGAAAATAGCTGGAAATCGAAAATATTTATAGGATAGGAAAGAGTGCGCAACTGCGCATCGCGCACATGGTCGGGTGCGTGTCGTGCACCTGGTCGAAAGTGATGACGTGGCAAACAACGGGTGGTGACACATGTCAAAATCTGGGTGGTGTGCCAGGTGCGCGACGCAAGCTGTCGAGGCGCGCGTCTTCACAAATGAATTTATGTTTTCTCAAAAATTGCATAACTGCTCCGTTCGTGCTCTGTTTTCGACGCGCTTTATATCGACGCGTAGCTATCGACGAGATCTACAACTTTCGTTTAGACTCCGTCGGCTAATTTTGACTTTATTTTTAAAGTTATATTTGTACAGGCTTAGACTGTTAAAATCCGTGTAAAAATCATAACTCTGTCATACGATATCCATTCGTGACTGTCTTTATATTGACGGATAGGTATGGACGAGATCTACGACTCTCGTTTAGATTATTTTTCCTAACAATCAATTGATCTTAATTTAAGTTTCTGTGTTTCACACTGGTACGCTGAAGCTTCTAAAAATCATAACTCCTCATACAAAGTCATATTTGGGTGTTCTAACTAGGTGTGCTATCGCTTTTACGATTACTACGACTTTAGTTTAGATTAATAAGGTTAATAAGTAATGTATCTCCCAAATGAATTTATAATAATCGTTTCATATTACAATCTAAAGTAATGGTAAAAATGGGGTGTTACAACTCTCCCCTACTTACAAGTATTTCATCCCTGAAATCTAACTAAATAAATCTGGGTAGTTGCTGCTCATCTCTTCTTCCGGCTCCCAGGTCCATTCTGATCCTTTCCGGCGATGCCACTGGACTTTCACCAGACTGATTACCTTATTGCGTAAGGTCTTTGTTTTCTTATCTAGTGTAACATCCCAAAAATAAGGACATAATTTTTTTTTTGTTTTTAGTTTAATAAATCCTTAATACAGATTGTTTCCATAAAACCAAAGTAACCAATATTTAGCAAAAACATCATTAAACCAGAGTAATTCACAGAATGCGGAAACATGTGGTGTGTGCCCTACAATCATCCTGAGCTCTTCCATTTGAAAACCGGATTACCTGAAACATAAACTAAAAATCGTAAGCACAAAGCTTAGTGAGTTCCCTGAAATACCATACCACATACAACCACAAATTATCATGCACCTACATATAGTTGCCATGGGCTCCCCCATGGTCTTTATCAATGATGTCATGGGCTCCCCCATGGTCTTTACCGGGAATGCCATGGGATTTCCCCTATTGTATGACATCTAATTGCCATGGGATCCGCCTGGGTCTTCCATGTAAGTATCACAGAGACAACTAGCATACCACATAACACGTAATGAGCCGGCATTGGTGTCTTCGACCCATGGATATAGTGAGAAGACTCACCTCGAATACAGACGTTCACTGAAAGAAATCCCTAGTTGCTTCCCTGACGACACCCCCGAGCTATCAGATCAAAATAACACTAGGGAATTTTTTCAGTGAGCTTCAGTAGTGCGAGGTGAGTCTCCTCACTGAGTTTAGCGGGTCGAAGGCACCAATGCCGACCCATGGTTATTATGTTAGGATGTCAGTTGTCTGTGTGACTCTTGCATGTGTATGTATTGATTTGTATGTGGGCGGGGCCCGGTGATTGTGCGGTATGCTACTATCTTTGTGATTTTCACATGTGTTTGAATGTTATATGATTATATGCTATATTGAATGTTTAGTGGTCGGGGCCCGTTATGCAAGTGTGGGCGGGGCCCGTATCTCATCGTTATG